TTTTATTTCGTATTTTTAAATTATCTTTTTATTTTTGACTATCTGTAAATGTAGTTTCCTGCTCTTAATTGTGAATGCATACTTGATGGTTTTAAATGCTCCTGAAATTAAGTGCTGCTTGACGAGCCTATACAGTATTGTGTTCATAATATGTGACGTCACTGAAGGTCTAAGTTTGAAATGTACGGCCCGCCACTGGCCCTAAGACAACTGGGATTGGCTCCAACACGCCTACAACCCTCATGAGGATAAAGCAGTTCAGGTAATGGATGGGTGGATATTTTAACATCCATCCATTTTCCGATCTGCTTTGTCCTCACAAGGGTCGCGGGTGTGCTGGAACCTATCCCAGCTATCTTCGGGCAGTAGGTGAGGGACACCCTGAACCGGTTGCCAGCCAATTATAGGGCACACATAGACGAACAACCATCCACGTCACACTCACACCAAGGGACAATTTAGAGCGTTCAATCAGCCTGCCGTGCATGTTTTTGGAATGTGGCAGGAAACCGGAGTACTTAGAGAAAACACACACAGGCCCGGGGAGAATATGCAAACTCCACACAGGTAGGCCGGGGCTGGAATTGAACCCCGTACCTCTGCACTGTGAGATCGACATGCTACCCACTAGTCCAACGGGCCGCCCGGATATTTAACATGAATTTGAAAATGTGTAACATGGAGCTTGTGATACCTGTGAATGCTTGCTTATAACTGAGCTGACTGCGCACTTTGTAGATAAAAATATTGGTCTTGCCAAAGTGAGCTAACAAAGTCAATTTACTGTCCGATAAGAACAACACATATTTACCTTTCTTTTCAGCTGACGCTCAAGACATTCCAGTTGATCAGTCATTTTATCGATTTTGTCTGCGGCAGTTCTCAAATCACAATTAGTCTTTCTGTACAGTAACAAGACACACAGAACATGATCGTAACCTTGCTTTTGTGAATACAAAGAACTTTCTGTAATGGTCTACATGCTAAATCATTGCAGTTTTTAAGTGGTGTTTTGTTCTTATTTTTCCCATGGTGGCAGCTACCTGAGTTGGCTATGTAGCTCCTCTATCTCTTCATTCTGTTCTTTTTCTGTCATTTGAAGATGTTTGTTGGTCTGCGTAGGACAAGAGGCTGCTTTGTACTATACATGTCATGATTCCACCCAGTGAAACTATCATGTTCTGCCAAAATATTTCTCTAGATTCTCGAGGAATTGTGGGTGTCTGATGAATTCTAGAGTCTAGAATAGATTCAATTAACCAACTGTTATGTCTACAAAGTGAACTACGCAGTAGAGCTTTTGCCAATTGCTTACCAGTTGCATTTCTTCATGGATCCCTTTGAGTTCACATGACTGTCGTATTAATTGAACAAGCTGATTCTGTGAGGAAAGGGGAAAGGCCAGATATTTAATTGAAGTTCTCAAAGGCATTTTTACCAACAGTTTAGGCTAAACCTTACTATATAAATATAAATAGAAATAATTTTATATACTGTGTATTTATATATATATATAGTAAGATTTGCTTCAATGTACATGAAATGTCCACATTTTTGCCAAACACTTTTATCCTGGCTGCCACCATTATTTTTCAAGCACTGCCTTAAACCTCTGAGTATGGAATCCACCTGAGGTTCACAGATTGCCACTGGGATCATCTTTCATTCCTTCATGATAGCATGAAGCTGATGGATGATTAAAAAAAAAAAAACAAAAAAACACCGTGCTCCTCCACCTTCTATTTGAGGATGCCCCACAGATGCTCAGTAGTGTTTAAGTCTGGGGACTGGCTTGGCCAGTCTATCACCTTTACCCTCAGCTTTTTGAACAAGGCAGTGGTTGTCTTGGATGTGTGTTTGGAGGGTCATTGTCAGGATGTAATAGTGCCCAGCGGCCCAGTTTGTGAAGGGAGGGTTTCAGTGCAGTATTTCATGATCCGTGTTGGCATTCAAGATTCTCTCAGTAAACTAGAGCCCCCCACGGCAGAAGTCATGCAGCCTGAGACACGCCCACCACCATGCTTGACTGTAGGCAAGACACACTTGTCTTTGTGCTCCTCGTGTGCTTGCCGCAACACACACTTGACAACATCTGAACCAAAAAAGGTTATCTTGGTCTCAGACCACAAGACATGGTTTCAAAAATCCATTTCGCTAATCTGCTTGTATTCAGCAAACTGGACTTTCTTGTTCATCATCAGTTGATCTTTTGTGCAGCGAAGTATTAAGCATTTCTGGTGGAAAGGTCACATGTTTCTACAGGCCACTGAGATGCCGTCTGACCAAAAATTGAACTAAGTCATTAATATGTGTGATAACCTGGGTAAGAGGTACATTCAATAATTTGGTGCGAGTACTTTTCCAGGTCAAGATGGCTTCAAGGAGCTGGATCCTCCAGCCAAAACCACATTCGGCTTTTGAGTTTTAACACATTTCTCATGTTGTCAAATTTACCTGCCAACCAAAAGTTCACATGCCTCCTTTGCCGAACATGATCACACTCTGACAGGCTAAGCCACACCCCTTCTACCTCTGTAGCTATACGAGGAGCTCAAAGCTCTATTTTCCATCGACAACTGAGCAAGTGCCCTCAACTATTTTGGTTTAGCATGGCAAAACCTGTTATGATTAGAATCTGTCCAGTTAAACCAATGTATGGTCATGGCCACCGCGCTGCAGCTCAGTTCCAGGGTGTTGGCAATATTTGTGTAGAATTGGCCAACTTGGTATAGAGCACTAATTCTTGTTTTCAGATCCTCAGACAGTTCTGTGACATGAGCTGCCATATTGTGCGTTTCTAGTGACCAATTTGAGAGTGATAAATTTGACACACCCGCTGATGAGTCACACAATTTAGGCACGTCATCACTTCTTGGCAATGATTAAAACATGAAGGACTATGTTTCGTTCTTTTGAGGGGCCAGTAAATCAAAACTGTTCAACAAGCTGTACACTGGCTTTACATTGTATGTGCATAAACCTACACACTGCAAATATACAGTACCACGAATAAGTATTTGCCCCTTTCCTGATTTCACGGATTATTGCACATTTATCTCATTAATATCTCAAGAAGACAACGCCAGAATATGCAAAACGCAGTTTCGACATGATGATTTTATTCATCAGGAGGAAAATAAATCAAAACTGTTCAACAAGCTGTACACTGGCTTTACATTGTATGTGCATAAACCTACACACTGCAAATATACAGTACCACGAATAAGTATTTGCCCCTTTCCTGATTTCACGGATTATTGCACATTTATCTCATTAATATCTCAAGAAGACAACGCCAGAATATGCAAAACGCAGTTTCGACATGATGATTTTATTCATCAGGAGGAAAAAGTCACAACCCACTGTCCCTGTATGTGAAAAAAAAGTAAGAACAACCTTTTAAAAGGTGTTTAATATTGATCAGTCTCAAAAAGATAACAAAGCCATTTCCAAAGATTTTTCAGAGAGCCAGATAGGAATACAATTGTGACGCAGGGAGCAGGCTTTAGATCCAGAAGACGAAAGTCAGGAAGTAAAAGTCTTTATATACAAAAATTAAAAGTAAAAAACAGAGCAGGGCTGGATGCAGTGGGACATAGAAGGCCAAGTGACGTTGTGACAACGTGTACCTGAGTAACTCAAGCTTACATACAGAAAACCATCAGGCAGTGCCCAACCCTGTGTGACCAAATAAAAAGTCACCGACAAGACTTCGCCCATTCGTCACATGTTTCCATCAAAGTTCAGTTCATCGGCACAGGTCGGTCGGGGAGGCGGAACAAGCAGTTTTAGTCATGTCGACTGAAGTATTATGTGCATGTGCGTGGTTTCTATGTTTAGAAAAGGCCAAAGAGTGAGAGAGAGAGAGAGAGAGAGAGAGAGAGAGAGAGAGAGACAGAGAGAGAGAGAGGGTGGGTATGGACCCAAATGAGGTGATGAATTTGCTTAATGACACCCTGTTTGCTAATTAGCCCCTAGCTTTGCATTTAGCTAATGTAGCATGAGTTGAAATGCTTTCCAGAATTTCCAATTTTGTTTGTTTGTGATTGAGTGCGCCACGTCCAGTCTCTCATCATAAGTTGCAAGGCACTGTCTTTCTATTGGTCAATGATGAAGAACCGGTCGACGGACGACGTCGGACATGTCACAATATGTGACAAGATGAACAAAAATTCTGATGTGCTCAACATTCATCATCGTGGTCAGTATGTCAAACTACACAGGCTACGGAGAGTCAGGACCACTCAGCTACGAGACACTATGTTTATATCATTATACCTTGAACTTCTGTGTCACCGCATCTGCCTCCTGTTCATCAGTGAAAGCCTTGAGGTACAGCTCCTGGAATTGCTCCACCTCTTGTGCTGCTTTCTGCCACATTTCCATGGCATTCAAGCGCTCCTATTCAATGGCAGAACACGTAACACAGACATACTTTAAAGTCAAACACATTCAAAGGCATATATCACACAGTATTATAACCACTTCCACAAATTAATGAGATCCAATGAAATTGATCAAAAAGAATCCATCCATCCATCCATTTTCTAATCCACTTATGCTCACGAGGGTTGCGGGCATAGTGGAGCCTATCCCAACTGCCATCGGGCAGTAGGCGCAGGACACCCCGAACTAGTTGCCTGCCAATCGCAGGGCACACTTAGACAAACAACCATTCACGCTCACACTCACACTCACACCTAGAGACAATTTCAAGTGTTCAATCAGCCTGCCACGCATGATTTTAGAACGTGTGAGGAAACCGGAGGACCCGGAGAAACATGCAAATTCCATACAGGAAGGGCAGTGTCGGAATAGAAGATTGCACCTCTGCAACTGTGAGGCAGACGTGCTAACCAGTGACTCACCGTGCAGTGATCAAACTGTGACTATATTGCTCAGTTGATTTTATTGATTGTCTGTGACAGTCAATTAAATTTGACCAGTTGTTTTAAAGGCATGATTTGGGTACAGATTTTTGATACAAATGATTGTTTAAATCAGGGATGTCAAACTCATTTTCGTCGCGGGCCAATTTTGAGTTACGTCTTCCCTCAGAGGGCCATTATGACAGTGAAACCGCAAAATTATTACTTGCACTCAACAAAGTAATAGATTACTAGTTTTGAAATCAGTCAAGTCAATTATAATAGTTTGTTCAATTATTGTTCAAGTGAGTGTAAACAAAATCTCAACGTTATTTATTACACATGACAATTTGACATTTCGGTACAGATTTTAGCAAGTTCACACACATGATTTGCTTTCGCGGGTCACATAAAACGACCTGGCGGGCAGCATCTGGCCCCCGGCCTTGAGTTTGACACCTGTGGTGTAAATGGTCATTGATACCAAAATTATCATATCATCAACTGGAGGGTATCCAGTTGAATGCAGCTTTGGATACAGCACTTGTTTTTAATCTTATAGATCAACACTGAAGTTCAATGCTCAGTCAAGCGTTCATATTTAATATTGAATCGGATTTCACAAATCGGATTTCATCCCAAAATCTGAATTGAGCATTTAGACCTGCAGTGTGAACCTAGCTAAATAGTCACATCTAGGTCTGCTATATGTGACCTAGACATTCAGATTGTGGACGCATTATAAAAAATCAGATAGGTATCCGATCACAGATCGGATTTGAAAAAAAATCAGAAATGAGCCATTCAGATTGTTCTAAAATATCAGATGCAGGTCGCATGTAGGTAAAAAAAAATGATCTACCCTGGCTAGTGACAACCAGTACGCAGTAAACAAAATGTTGTGGTAATCAAATTCCCTTTTAAGTATTTTGGGCAAGTCATATGTACAGACCTGTTTAAACAGCTGTACTAGGGATTCATAGTTCTTCATGAGTTCTTCCTCCACTGTTGCGCTGCACCCCAATTCTGAGGTCTTTGGGAGTGATTGAGGCTCATTGCCCAGTGACTCATTCACGTGGAGCCTGTCATTGAATTATTTTATGAAAACAAAAACAATAACTACATATTTCTACATGTCACCATCACATTAAAGAAAAGTTTGGGGTTTGTTTTACAGACACCTGTAAAGCTTATGTACCTTTTATTCTCGTGGACATCTCTCTCCATCTTGAGTTTGACATCTGTTATCAGCGCCTAGCACGCAAAAAAAAAAAAAAAAAGATGAATTCATTCTGGTACAAATTTATCATACTGTACTGTGGATGTTACTTTTGCCTTTTGTTCCACAGCAGTCATATTTACATTGTAATACAGTAATTACTGAATAACCAGTAATAAAAGTTCCAACCAATTTGGAGCAGCAAGAAAATCCATATTTAAAAATAAACTTAAACGAAACTAAAATCGAGGTTCCTCCTTGCCACAAACCAGTCTATTAAATTAGAATGCATCTATACAGATAATTTAGCTTCTTGACAATGTTTATTGACTCGAAAATTGTATCTGATGCAGAAAGAGGTAAAGGTGTCGTATCAGACCTTTAAACGGACAGGCACGAAATTGACTCGTAGCCTGAGCGTTTCCTTTTCACATTGATAAATGACGTGAGACATCAAATGTAATCCGTCGATGAAATACTGTGGTCAACATTTAACACACAAACGCATATAAACAGGATGGACAAATTTAGTTCACCTAGAATAGGTCTGCCCACTTTCGGGTTTCAAAATACAATGCTTGATTGAGGCCACACACGCGGTTATGAGCTACTGCTGCCACCAAGTAGCTATATTCTGAAGATGTAAAACTTTTTAAATGACGTAAGTAATGACTTAGCACTGCTTATTAGGTCATCGTGAAGGCATATAAAGCTGTAAAATAGGCACGTCGCCACAGTGTTTAAAGGGGAATACAGGAACATACTGCCTTGTGTCAAATTATTAGTGATGTGTCGCGAACGAACCGGCTCTTAGAGCCGGCTCTTTGAAGTGAACGACGGGACCCGGCTCCTAATAGATCCGTGGTAGAAGAGGGAGGGGAGGGTTACACGCACACACGCTGCAGCGTCGAGAAGGGGGAGGAGTTAGGGACACACACACACACACACACACACACACACACACACACACACACACACACACACACACACACACACACACACACCCAC